ACATGCCATTAGATCAATTCAACAGTGTGATGGGTAGTATTACATCATGTAATAACCTAAGCTTTTGTGATGATGAATTTCCTAACGAGGGGAGGAATCACAATTTGGCTCTTCATATATCCATGACCTGTAAAAGAGATTCATTATCAAATGTGTTGATTGATAATGGATCCGCCTTGAATGTGATACCAAGGAGTGTCCTGATGAAGTTGAAATTTCAAGGGGATCCTATGCGCCCAAGTGGTATTATTGTCAAAGCTTTCAATCAATAAGGAAGTCAGTTATTGGGGAAGTCGATCTGCCTATTCACATAAGTCCGTGTTTATTCCAGATTACTTTCCAAGTCATGGATATTGTACCTGCATATAGTTGTCTATTGGGAAGCCATGGATACATGAAGTCGGGGTTGTCACTTCCACTCTGCACCAAAAGCTGAAGTTCATGCGTGAAGGCAAAGTGGTTATTATAAATGGAGAGCAAGCATTACTAATATCTAATCTATCATCTTTCAGTGTCGTGGAGGTAGATGAAGGTGTTGTTGGGACACATTTCCAAGCTCTATTTAATGTTAACATAAGGGAGAATGAGAATTCTATGACTTCATTCAAAGATGCTCAATATGTTGTGCGCAATGGTCCAAGTAAAGTATGGGGACAAGTCGTTGATCCTCCCATCAACAAGAACATGGCTGGTTTGGGATTCTCTACCAAGAATGGAAAAGGAGAAAGTTTTAAGTCCAAGTCCATTATGAGCATCTATCATGATGTTTTCTGCAGCAGAGGATACCTCCATCCAACTGTTTCTGGAGTTAAGGCTATCGAGGATAATGAAGAAGATCAGGAAATGTCGAGTTATGTGACACCTGGAGTCAGAATCCAGAATTGGGTCACTTATGATGTTCCCTCTTTCATTCATGTCTCAAAGTAATTTGTTTTTTCTTCTTTGCAAAAAGCTTTCATTCTGCCCAAGATGAAAGTTAATATTGTATGGGCTTATCTGTTAGCTTTGATCATTAAAATCATAAATAAATGTTGTCTCTGATTCTCAAAATTATGTCTTTTATTTTTCTGTTTTTCATGGAAATTGGTAATCAGAAAAAACCTTTTTGAATAAAATATATTTGAAAATAAATCTGCATAATCTCTTGATATATGTGTCAGTTTCTAAAAGCAATCACAAATCACACGCGCATATTAATTACTTAACCTGTTGAATACAATGACCTTGCACCCTCTCCCAACTTTGAATATCATGTGTGTGGGACGGAAGGAGAAGAATATGATGAGATTCCAGAAGAGGATTCACCGTTGCTCGAGCATGAGGAAAATGCCATTCAACCGTATAAAGAGTCATTGGAAACAATCAAATTGGGTTCAAAAGAAGAGCCAGAGGAAGTCAATATTGGAGCATCATTCCATCCTGATATGAAGAGAAGGTTGATTGAGCTATTGAAAGAGTATGTAGACATCTTTTATTGGTTTTACCAAGATATTCCAGGTCTAGATACTGATATTGTGGAGCATCATTTGCCTTTGAAGCCAAAGTGCTCGCCCGTCAAGCAGAAGTTGAGAAGAACTCACCCTGATATGGCAGTAAAAATCAAAGAAGAAGTCTTAAAGTAGATTAATGCTGGTTTTCTTGTGACATAAGTGTATCCTCAATGGATAGCAAACATTGTGCCCGTACCAAAGAAAGATGGAAAAGTCCGCATGTGCGTAGATTACAGAGATTTAAATAAAGCAGGTCCAAAAGATGATTTTCCATTGCCACATATTGATATGTTGGTTGATAGCACAACAAAATTTATAGTGTTCTTGTTCATGGACGGATTTTCCAGATATAATCAAATAAGAATCGATCCAGAGGACATGGAAAAACAACATTTATCACACCCTGGGGAACAATTTAAATACCTATTATACCGAGACCTTAAGTTCAAATTTTTGAGTTGCCCCGAGTAGTTTATATTAGCAGTCAGCACCATCTTAAGCATAAACTACGTAGGGAGTTGATAAATTTAAGTGGATGATCCCAAAAATTCTAAGTATATATGCCAATACTTAATAAAAATAGGGAATGCACCTATTAAGTTAGGTGACCGTCACTCGGCCACTTAACCCAACGGTTGTGGAACCTACAAAAGTTTTCATAAAAATTCGTTGTTAGTTGGTTAGAGGTGTCTGGTGCTGAACTTGGTAGGGTAGACTACGGTTCGATCCCTCGGAACTTGCAATTGGTCAAATAAAGGGTTTACCAAACTCGTGTACCAAAACCCCATTGCTAAAGGATCAGAGTCACTAACAAACTACTATACTATGTATGTTTAACGATAAAGGGCTTAACGTGATTGCGCCAAATGAAAGTGGGTAAAATAAAACGAAATAAATAGGTTGAGCTATAATAGAATGATTCAAACTGGTTTAGATTAAAGAGGGAGTTTATTATTGTATTTACAGTTTTGTGTCACTACGGTATCCTTAGTATTGAATTCGAGTACCTATCATTCCAACAAAATGTCTCACAACCACGTACAATTTAAGTTATGTCGTGTATTTGTGTCCAACCCGCTTTTTTAATTGAATTTCATGATGATTATTTGCTTGAGGACAAGCAAAGGTTAAAGTGTAGGGGAGTTTGATAAAATGATATTTCATCGTATTTTCGACTTGACTAGAAAGGATTAGTTTACCGTTTTTATCCATTTATATCATTTTATGTTGGTAGTGTTTATGTATTTCGGGTGTTTTTCTCCTTAAGGCTTGCATGAGAAAAGAAGAGGAATTGGCATAGAAAGAACAAGAAAACATGTTGAAATAGAAGAAAAGATGGAAATCTGCGCACAGAAGTTTATGGCCCTCTCCACATCTTCTATGGCCCTCGCCACACATGTTTAGTCTGTGGCCCTTGCCACACTTCCAGTGGCCACCGCCACAGGTTCTTTTATATCAGGCCCATTTTCCTCCCACGTCATAGCCATGATTCCCTCATTCTTCATATTTCCTCTCTGCATGACCAGGGTGGCGAGATTATCTCCATAAAGGAAGTTGTTCCTAATATTTATGGAGGGTGTTACGTAAATACATCAAGCTATAAAAAGAGGAAGAATTTATAGTTACGGGGTCGAAGAATTTTCCATTGTTCAGAGCATTTTCCTTTCTAGTTTCTAAGCAGAAAAAATCACCACTTTAAAGTAATAACATTCCATATCATGGAGATATTACAACATTAGTTTAGATTTACAGTTTTAGTTTCTCTTTAATTGTTTACTTTCAGAAGCGAATCCTGCCAACAACTGTGGAGGATCATGAAGAATAATTTTCAAGTTACAGTAAATTCTTTGTACTAGAGATTTATTCCTAGGTTTGTAATATAAGCTTTATTTATATTTCCGCTATAGAAAATCGTGTTCCATTTTATGATTAATTACCGTAATATCATGTCTCTGTTATAAACTATGTCCGACTAATTCCATGAGATACTGGTATGTAACATAATCTAATCGAAGGTATTAGAAAACCTTTGGGTATTAATATTTCTAAAACTCTAACAAAAGCACACGTAAGTTCTACCTAAAATTAGGTATACACAACTCTATATATAACATTAATCTGGACTGGGTTGGGCTTCAAAATCGTCGCAGTGAGGCTGCGCAAAGTCTGCAAAATCTTCTCCAAGAAAATAGGTCTTCAATAATTTGTTTCCTAAAATGTCTCCATATTTAGAAATATTTTATATCTTCAAAAACCACCATAGAATCTCTGGTTAGTCAATCTTGAACGTCATATAAGCTAACTAAATATTCCCTGAATATTCAGTAACTAACATATAATTTGAAACATAACTGTCAACTACTGCCGACACAATGTCCTATCCTCTTGTTTGGGACATCCTATTCAACATGTTGAAAACTTCATGTTGGAACATCTTTTTCAACATGTTGCTGCCAAGTTGGTTTTACCAAAATGTATGTCAATCATAATTTCAGAGAAATAACAAATATTACTCTTGAAATTTTTAAGCAAAAGTGGGTATTTTTAAGAGTAGCAATAGAATAAATCCGAGGAATATGTGGAGTTAGTAAAGCATGCATCAGATGAATTTTTCTAGTGGGAAGCCTGAAAAATCTTGATGTAGATGAGTAAAGATGGCTTGTTATTGAGTTGCAGCATGTCTCTGGAGTTGGTTCTTCTAGTTTTTCTCTTTAGCATTCCTCAACCCCTTTTGATACCAGGTTTTGTGAAGATGCTGCTCAGTAGCATTTATATGCTTTTGTTCGTGCGTTTGGTTTTTTCCCTGTCGATGGTCTATGTGGATGATTTTCGTAGTATCATGTTTCATTTAAACGACCAAAAAGATACATGTTTCTCTATTTTTATTTGTTTATTCATTTCTCTTATTCTGATTGGAATATTTTACACCTACACTGTATGTTATCATTACATGTTTGATTTGGTATATTTAAATTGTTTGAGGGTAATTCTCATGATATACTCTTGCATAGTGACAGAAAAAGATATAATGTGTGACTAGATGGAGTATTAATATAACTGACTATATAAAATAATCACTTGACACCACTTTAACTCAGAGTAAGTATAAATATAATATGACATCCGCTTAGTTTTTCAATAATCTTTTTGTGTAAGCAAAACTATAATTTTCATGTCATTTTCACATAACAAGTTGAGTTTTACTTTTAACTCAATTATTTAGTACACAAAATCAATACCTTAATTAATGCAAAAATAAAAAACAAGATCTCAATCAGTAAACAACAACAATAATCAAGTTTTTCCACAAGAAAATCCTTATTTAATACTCAAATAAGAGATTAATTAGTACACAATAATAACCAAGCATTTTCCACTAAGTTGGAACTTAATTAGAACACAAACATGAACTAACTTAGTACAAAGAAATTAAGACATTACAGTACACAAACACTGATTAATATATATGAATTAGTTTTGTTTTAACCATCCATCAAGGTAAATTTGGTTGGAGTCAAGGTTGGATTTTGCATTTTTGGTTCGGGTATCTTTCAACCATCCATCAAGGTAAACTTGGTTGGAGTTATGGTTGGATTTTGCATTTTCAGTTCGGGTATCTTTCAACCATCCATCAAGATAAACTTGGTTGGAGTTAGGGTTGACTTTTATGTTTTTGGTTCGGGTATCTTTCAACCATCCATCAAGGTAAACTTGGTTGGAGTCAGGAGTAGATTTTTCTTTCTCAGCTCGGATATCTTTCAGCCAACCATCAAGGTAAACTTGGTTCGATTCAGATGTAGATTTTTCTTTTTCAGCTCGGATATCTTTCAACCATCCATCAAGGTAAACTTGGTTGGAGTCAGGGTTGGATTTTGCTTTCTCGGTATGAGTGTCTTTCAACCATCCATCAAGATAGACTTGGTTGGAGTTAGAGGTGGATTTCGCTTTCTCAACTCGAGTATCTTTCAACCATCCATCAAGGTAAACCTGGTTAGAGTCAGGGTTGACTTTGGATTTCTCAGTTCTAATATCCTTCAACCATCTATCAAGGTAAACTTTGTTGTAGTCAGGGTTGGCTTTGACTTTCTCGGCCCTGGTATCTTTCAACCATCCATCTAGGTAAACTTGGTTGGTGTCATGGTTGGCTTTGGCTTTCTCGACTCTGGTATCTTTCAACCATCCATCAAGGTAAACTTGGTTGGAATTAGGGTTGACTTTTGTTTTCTCGCCTCTGGTATCTTTCAATCATCCATCAAGGTAAACTTGATTGGAGTTAGGGGAGAGTTTTTGGTTCTTTAGTGGAGTGTTTTTGAGCCAACCATCAAGGTAAGTCTGGTCAACCTGGTTCATATATCTAGCAAAGCTTCCATGACCATTCTACAATACAATTAAATAAATAGATATTAATGAGTGAGAAATTAATTACATGTTTTGGATGGTATATATGGTTAGAAAAAAACTAGTGTGTTATGAGACACATTTTGTTGTATAATAGAAGATATATTCGTTATGTATATATAACAGATAGATACATAATTTGAAACATAAATATAGCATGTAGAATATTTTTAATTTAATTAAAACAAAACAACGTAATTTTTTTAAATCGTATAAAAAAGCTCGATTCTTAGTATGTTTTAGGTATAAAAAACAACTAATTAGAAGAATCTTAGAAGCATGCATTAAATTCTACATGCTTGTACAATTGCAAATAAAGATGAAAATAATATATTATGAAGATGTTGAATATTTTTAATCTTTTAACATGCATGCACAATTGCAAATAAAGATTAAATAAATTATTATTATGATAAATAATTGATGAAAAATAAAAGTATAAAGGATAGAAGCATGCATGGAAAGTTAGTAACTCACGATCAACAATAGCAGGAGAAAAGGAATGAGAGACAAAATAACTCTACGTGCCATTTCTTTTTGTTATGTTATTTTACTATGAAATATGCATTGGAGTGGAAGTGAGCTGACTTATTTATAGGCAAGTAAAAAAGACTAGTAGTACAAATAACTAGGACATTAGTACTTTGTTTAGCAAAATAATTTTTTAAGTTTATAGTTCATTTCTTATGAATATGACTTATGTTTTCTTCATTGCCATGAGTTGTATGAATCTAAAATTTACAACACAAACAACAATTAGTATGAATCTAGGAAATAAGACAAAATAGTCTCACAAGAAACTCTTGAAAATAGTGTGTAGAGTTTGCATGCTTTGAGAAGTTAATGTAACAACTTAAACCGACACAATCAATCACTTATAGAGCTTTGCATTAAATAATTGTAGTTGTCTTTTTAAGAGTCAAAAGAGAAGAATTTGGAATCCAAAGCAACGTTTTTTAATTTAATTTTAAATTGTCAAATTTTATTATAAATAAATGTTTATAACATGAAAGTTTGAAGTAGTATATAGATGAAACATATATTACTAACAAACTTTGTAATGGCATAGAATTGAAACAAAATGGTGTGCTAATAAAAGTAAATAGATGAAACATATTACTGAAAAATTCCAAGAAACATCCAAATATATGTGACATTTTAAAGTGGTTCGTGATAGACTAATACAATCAGTCATTATTATAAATAATAAAAATATTTTTTTGAGTTTATTAACTATTTGAGTGAATATATTCTCTACGGTATACATTTTCTGCAGTGAAATCTGAGCTATTGATTTAATTATATTTTATTTAACTTGAGAGGGAGTCATTCTAATAAATGAGGAAGATGTGAACTGAATTTGGTCCAGTGAAAAGTCCACGAAAGATAATCCTCCCCCACTAATTCATGTATTTGATCTTTGTTATATATTAGATATATAATTGTTTATTTTCTAATCGTTTTATTTTATTCTTGAATTCTCATAAAAAATACTATCTAAATTTTAGAATTCAAAATTTTCAAAAATACTATCTAAATTTTAGAATTCAAATATTTAACACTTTCATAATCTTTTTCTTTTTCACTTTTTTTTTTAAGTTGGTAGTTTTTGGACTCTTCAATCTGAATTAAATTTGAAGTCTATAATTTTAATAAAGAAAATATTTTTCATATATATTTTATAATGGGGATTAAAATATAATCATTAATTGAAGAAAATAAAATAAAATTCTCTTTAAATAGTTTTCGGTATTAATAAAAAAAAATGTCTTTTGTTCGTTGTGAGTTATAAAATCAAAATTTAATTTGGATTATAAAATTTAAAATTTGTAAAACAAAAAAAAAGTTTAAAGAGGAAAAATATCACCATATATTTTAAACCAGTAAATCAATTACAATAAGTAATTTATTTATATACGTTCATATAATTTTTTCCTACATCATTTTCAACCTTCACAACCTTATTTCAATCCAAAAACTACCAAACCATACCTGGATAGTTTCACGTGTAGCATAATATGTTCCATGCAGCTCGAGTAAAGGGCAAACAATTATGAAACGAGAATTTATTTCTCTACCTTGTTGTCTTCTTGCAGGTATTTGGAAAAAAAACTCAAAATACCTCAAGAACTCGGATGTGATATCTGAACACGCCGTATTTATCAAGAAAATGTGTTTTCCAATGTGCATATCCGAAGCCATTTTATTTTGTCAAGAAAAGGTAACTTCACATGTGCATATCCAAATCCACCCCATGATTTAACACTTTGGATATGCACATCCGAAGTTATTAAATTGTTATATGGACCGTCAACAAAACATAGAACTCATTTCTTTACAAACTCATAAACCTCATTCCAACTCATCTCCTCATTTCTACTCATCTCAAGTCATTTCAACTCATATCCAAAGCTACAAATTTGTGTATGTTTTTGCTATTTCCATTTGATTTAGTTTGCAAAGCTATAATAATTTATTAGGTTATTAGAATCAAGGATATTGTGTAGGTTGATGTTAGAGTGGTTAAATGTTGATGTTTGTGTGACAAAATCACTAGAATAAACACCACCGCTACGAACAAACCTCGAAACATTCGCGTGAATCTTCTTGCCATCAATGATAATGTTATCAATCTTCACTGCCAACATTCTAGCCTCCACAACTTCCTTGAACCTTGCAAAACTAAATATATTCTTGACTTTGTTTCTTTTGGGTGGAATAACCACTTCCACAACATCACCCACCCAACCAAATAACTCATATGTCATGAGCTCTGATTCTATAAGGGATTTCAGAAAAGAAAATGGTATAAATGTTGCCTTCCGCAGACTAAAATGAAACCTGGCAAATCGAAAAGGTGTCCCAGTGAAGAACCACCATCCTTATGCCTTTCCTTCTCACCTCCGTCCACACAGGACTGCCGGACATTAACTTAAAATTATAAAAGTCACTGGTACCTTTTAGAGAGTTCTCTCTATAGGAACTTTTTTTTACAGTAATTTATTAAGGTGTTAGTTATGGAAATAAATTATTAATATGTTGTATAATAATAATGGCATTATACACACCAACAAAACACAACGCCTAAAATCTAACCATTTGGATGGTGATGAAGAAACCTTGTATGTTCCACATCGTTTTCCTTTCACTTCATTTCCGTGTTTATATAATTCACACAAACGTACACAATTGTATATTTGTGAGTTGGTGTGATATTGTTAGGATATGAGTCCAAGGCGCAAACAATTTGTTTTAAAATTTTTATTAATTAATTTATAAATAAAAACTCCATCTTGATTGATTGCAAGCAATTTAATTTTGCTGCACTCCAAGAGTAAGAGTAATAGTGTATTCTCTCCACATTTAATTACTTTTTATTTTTAACCATTAAATTGAAAAGAATTAATATGGAATAAGTTACTATTAGAGTAAGAATAATATATATATATATATATATATATATATATATATATATATAAACCAATAAAGTAAATAAAAAACTTACCTATATTTCTTTAATCAAATGGGCTATGTTGACACTAAAATCTTATATACCTATATTATTTTTCAATCAAAAAACAAATTGTTAAAAAGACAAAGTTATGTATAATTGTATCTATATACGGTGTGATTGAACAATCATAGGTTGCAACTTCGGTTGAAAAGGAACGCAAATGATATAGCTACTACTCAAGAAGAACACAAACTTACAGGTAATACGATTTCAGTTCTCTTCTACGTATAATTTTTTATGTTATTATTTTGGTATATACCATATCAAACTTTATAGGAACCAAATTCAATATATATATATATATATATATATATATATATATATATATATATATATATATATATATATATATATATATATATATATATATATATATATATATATATATATATATATATATATATATATATATATATATATATATATATATGATACACACCCTCTCCACTATATTATGCATTCAATACCAAATTAAACACATGATGTAGACGGTGTTGGGCTTGGGCTCCCTTTCTATCTAGAGAAATATCTAAATATAAATAGTTTAGTTGTCTCACATATTTAAAGGGAGAGTATCAATTTAGGTTTGAGAAAAATACGGAGAAAATAATGATTCAAAAGAGAAAAAAGATGAGAAAAACTCATTCCCGTTTTTCTAAACAAGTATGAATAATTAAATCAACTATCTCCTATTACTTCACCGTCAGATCAAACTGAAATTTAGTGGCCATGTTCGCAACACATGTATCTACTTTTTGACCCTTCAGAATTTCAAAATAAATTATGAGTTGAGAGATATCCGCTTCGCATTGAAGCTGCAAATTTGAGTAATTTTTAGCTTTTTGATTCTTATTTGTAAGCTAGTTTTCTTTGTGGTTCTTGGTTTTTATCACTATTTTATGAATCACTTTAAGAATCTCTTGAATCTTCAATTGATTGTAGTGGAGCTATTTCTTTGTCTCGATGACTTGTGGTTTTTTAATCTCGTATTGAGGGGTTTACGACATTAAAAATTACCACCCACTCGCGTTTCACTTTCCAAATTCATTTCAGCCTTTCAATTCCTCGAATCACTCCGTATATCATACTTCTCCGCTTATATTGACCTGAAGCAAAGTAAACCCTACTGTATCAATTAAATATTGGCTTTGATGCAATTAAATAAAATCAATATGTTGAGTTAGAGAGTGTTACATCATTTAAATTTACCAATTATGAATATATAAAATGAAAGAAAAAGCTAAAATATACGAAATATAATTTGTCACAATCACGCGAATGACTTTTCCAATCAAGTCTCTCTTGATTTTAAGCGTTTCTTATATGATGCTATTTTTTTAACTTATATTAGTACAACTTGTATTACTTATACATGTTGTCTCTTGTC